CTGCTGACGTGGCGCTGACGGGGAACAACTTTTCTAAATTACGTTTTGACCCTCGGTTTATGATTTTCTTTTCAAAAATACCCCCAGAATCCAAATTTTCACCCATTTTTCCCAAAACCTATTTCAATTAAATCTAAACAATATTTTTACACAATTTTATCATTATTATTATTATTATTTTTATTAACTTAAATCAATTAAAATTAAATAATTGCAAAATAAACTAAATAAATTAAATTAAAAATTAATAATAATAATAATAATAATGATAAAATTAATGGGTGTTACACCCGGGGCCGAAATTTGGTCCGATATTAATTTTAACACAAAAAAAATGTATAAAAAATTTATTTTTGAAATTATGAAGAAAATAGGTGAAATTTTGGATTCGGATTGTATTTTTTTTTAAAAAAATCGAAAACTAGGGGTCATAACTCAATTAAGAAAAATTGCACCATGTAGAACTGCCCAGACAACAGCCTCGATGAACCGTAGGGCGCTGCGTGGCCGTGCGCGTGGACGGTCCGGATATGTTCCCTCCTCATTCACGATCGGACGATCGCGATTAAACGCGATGAACGACTCATATTCGTTCCCTCTTTAAACGCGATTGGACGATCGAGATCAAACGCGATGAATGACCCAGATTTGTGCTAGATATGTATAAATATTTCGCATCACACTAAACCCAAACCCTACCCACCAGCCTCCCACCGAAAAAGAGAACCAACCGCCAACCGCCGCCTGCCGCCATGTCGGAGCCACCTCCGACCACCAAAAAGAGTAAAAATTCTCTTATCCGCTTAAAATTTGATTTCGAGCACCCCTATAGTCAAATCGGAGCAAAAGAAATGGATGAGCCAGAAAACTGCGTGCAAAGCCTGACAGCGACGCCGCGGGCAAAACTCGCAACCACCTCCGATGACCCCCTTCCCGTTTTTCATTTTATGCGATTTTTTTCACTATTGTGTTCACTGTTCTGTTTTCTACAGGTTGACTGAAGAAAAACACTTAACCGCGAAGGTGAGCCGGTGGAGCCACCGCACAGAAAAATCTCACCGTGGTAAATTTTTATTTTTTTGACTTTTTTGGCCAATCGAGGCCCCTTAACATGTTTTCTTGCAGGGATTGGTATAAAATCGGTTGAAATCAGCCAAAACTGACCGAAAAACAGCCAGAATGAGGCAAATCGCCACCGCGGGCAATGGTACTATCGCCGGAGCACGCCGGTGTCGCCGTGCCGGAATATCAAAATTGACCAGAAAAGAATTTTTAACACCAATTTTGGATTTTTTTGGATATTTTTAGGTACATGAAGCATGTTTTAATATCTGTAAAAAAATTCAAGAAACTTGGGGATTGTTAGTAGGCATAGTAGAAAGTTCGGTGTTTCGAATACCGATTCGAGTAAGAATCCTTCACCTTATTCTCTGTTATAGAATTGAAGCTTAATAATCGATAATATGATATTTTGTGTAATTTAAAAAACTTTGAGAATAATTACAAGTTACTAATGGAGCCAGAACCGATTAGTTATTTATTTGTCATGTTTAACTAATTATTGAATTTACAGCTTTAAATACATGATGATATACTAGAAGGGTTAAATGATTCAATTGTGCTTTCTTGATATATATATTACTTGTTTTACATGATTTATAGTTAATTTGTGAAATTAGAAATTAATATGCAAATAAGAAATTATTTGGTCATGTAAATTAATGAATGATAGTTCTACTAGATATCTTAGAATATGGTGGACGAACTAGGTACATAGTTAACTCTATCATGAACGTTGCCTCATACCAAACGGAGTATTGAAGAATGGTATTTTTGGCGCTCACACCAAACGGGGTATGGGGACGGCCCGATTCACCCTCATACCGGATGAGATATTAAAGGATGATATCTTTGGCGCTCATATCGAATGGAGTATGGGGACGGCTGATTAGTTGATAATGTTGGATATTGTTTCACGCATAGTGGGACATCCTTATGGGCCCACAAGGATATTAGTAGGCAAATAAAAAGGAAAAATAGTTGTTATTGCTCACTTGAAAATGAGATTGAGATATTATTTGAGTTTTTGTCTCTATATATTGATTTTGAAAATCTCGCAACGGTAAATATATGCAATAAATGATTTTCTTTATGATAAATGAATTTACTTAAATCAAGAGCTCTATTGGTTATTTTTATAATTTTTACCGACCTTCAGTTTCTGTATCGGTAACTAGTGTGATATTCTTACTGGGGTAGTGTAGCTCACCATTTCATTAACTATTTCATATTAAGAGGATCAAGATCCATATCTCGATCAACAAGAGGGTTGTGAATAGTTTACCATCTGGACTCCCTTCAAAAGTTAGTGAAGGTCGTTCTGGAATGTTCAGTATATTATCTTTTATTTATTTTTTTAATTTTTATTTGTTCTTTTAGAAGAGACATTTTCGTAACCCTATTGGTCATTCTAAATTACTGTGTAAGGAATGTAAATCCTAAACTTTATTATTTCTCTTCCGCATTTAATTTATAACTTCATTCCTTTTTAAATTCCTGGTCTTTACATACGTAAAATGAAATTTTGAGACACCTTGAAAAATTTAGAGTTTGTAAAAAATATGATTTTAGATATCCTAACTTCTCTTATAACTCCTATAATATTTCAAAAGCTCTATATGGATTTAACACATTCAAGACTATAAATTTTATTCATAGTACGTGTTTTATAATATTAATACCTTATAATTTACTTTTATTATTATATATTTAGTTAGCTAATTTCAAACTGTAATTACGTATTTAATATCTGAAAGATACAAGTAATAAGTTAAATATGTACATACGACCTTTAGGTGAAGAATTAAATGAAACGTGAACTAGGAAAAGATACTTTTGATGCTCGTATAAGAACAAAAAGTTACAATTATGTACAACATTCATATTGACCAAATATAATTGTTGTCATAAACTAACTAGCTTTATATATATGGAATACTAAAAAATATATATTTGTAATCTTTTTGGTGGTTGCAATTGCAATAGGGTCAATGTGATTACACCATAAAAGAAAATACTCTTACATGAGTTGCAATGGTTAGAATTGAACTGTGGTTAGAGATGCTATAAAAATTGCATGTCAAAAATTGAGATTATCATTCTTTTGTATAAATATTGTTCTTTTAAAAATTATTTTGGCTCTCATTGAATGAATCTAGTTTTCTTTTCTATGAATATATTAGTTCTTATGCTCTTTCTTCATCTATTTCTTTGTTTCTTCTGGGGTTCTCTAAGATTTTCCATACTAATTCTCATCGGACACACTTCATATTCAGATACATGTATGTATATATGCAGCTCTTTTTTATTTTTTTTGGAAATTTTACAATCTTGTACTTTGTTAAAAAGTTTAATTTTATACTTTATATAAAATAATGATATGCATCCTATAGATTATTGATAAAATAATAATTAATTTCTTTCAAACTGGTTATAACATACATTATATAAACAAGATATTGTTCTTGAAATTAATAATTTTAAAATTTAATTTATAAGATATGTTAACTATGTCAAATTTATAATTTAAATTATAAAATAAGTTATGTTAAAGTAAACGCACATATTAGACTTTATTTCTCTCCCTTTTTTTTAATTTTAAATTTGGATAAGGACACATGTGAATGTTCTACTCCATCCAAAGGTGTTATATATATATATATATATATATGTATTATGAAGTAAAAAAAAAAATTAAAACTTCAATAAAAAATATAAAAAATGGAATTCAAAGAAAAATCATTTTTTTTTTAATTTCTTGTATAATGTAAACACTCAAAAAGTATAAGGTTAATTGTAGTCTACTTTCCTGTATGGATAATCTCCTCCGTACATTAATTAAATGAATATATTCATTTTCACACTTTACCTAATACTACAGCTCGTTTTTTCTCTCCCCTCTCCAGAAGTTTCCGAGGGCCATTTGCTTCTCACAAACTTCACCAGTTTTTCAATTTCTGCTCATTCTCTTTCAAATTCTCTCTTACATTCTTCACAGAATCTAATACGGTATCACAGCATCTCTAAATTTTTTTTTCTCCTATTGAAATCATTCGGTGTTCCCGAAACCCTAGGGTTCATTTCGGTTCTTTGAGAGGTTGAGGTTCCAGTACTTTCGTCAAGAAAGCGATTATGGAGATTTCAGGTGTTTCTAGTTCAGGGAAGATCGATGAAGCTCTCGCACATTCCTTCTCTCTCCACCCGGACAAGAATCCCTCGCTCATGCTGACCTCCACCGTTCTCAAAAAGGTGAACCGAGGTCTAGAAAAAATGCAGAAAACAAAGAAGGAGAGTAACAGAGAGTAGAGGAAGAGGAATTTTTTTTTTTTTTTTTAGGCTTAAAAACAGATTCTACTGCTTCCTTAGAACCTTAAGTAAATCTCTTACTAATTTTCTTCCCATTACAGCAATGGTTTTCCAAAGATAGCTAATACAGGTTGCTTATAACTTTAAACACGCCTAAAACGTAAGTTGTTCACTAACGCAAGTTTCCTACACAGCTTAAACCAAAAGATAAAAACTATATCATAGTTAAAACATTGTTTAACTATTGACAGCAAAATCTCAACCCTTCAACAAAAGCCATCAAGAAGAGAGCAACTACCGTGATTGTTAAAGTGAGAGCCATGGAGGAGTCGCAAGGCGAAACAGGCTTACAAATGGAGCGCGGCGATGACGCACCGGTGATGGATTGCTCATGAAGACGAAGAGGGAGCAGAGTCGGAGGCGGTGTTGATGGATTCCGTACATGGAGAGTCTTTGAGAAGCTAATTTCAGAGAAGAGCCAAGTTGAAATTGCAAGGTGTATGCATAGTCTATTATATGTACCGGCATATGTATGCCCGATATATTTGGTAATAATTTTAGGAAAGTAAGGGTATTCAAGGCAATTCACCTTAAATAATTAATCCCATCAAGTTGTTGCATTTGTCTCCTAATATAGTATTTGAGTCCTTTCTCACGTTTTTCTTGTTAATTGGGAAATTGAGTTGACCGTGACTTTAGGGACGCCGGGGGTTGATTGAGACGCAACGGTATAATAGCTGAAGCTGAAGCAGCTGCAAGCAAATCGCAGAGGAAGCTCGAAGCTGATTTGCTTTCAGATCAATCCAACACTGCGTGTTCCAGGTTCCTGACTCTCTTTTTCTTTCGTTTGCAATTCTTTCACTTGTTAATTCTCATTATTGATTTGTGCTTTTTGCTCATTTTCGCCTCTGTATCTGTTGATTACTCATTTTTCCCTGCTCTATGCTAAAATCACCTCTCGCTCAAAATATAGACGCATTGTTCTTCGATCAGAGGTAAAATAGAAATAGGTCTCCACAGATTTATCAGAAGAACGAAATTTAAAATTTAAAATTTAAAATTAAAAAAAGGTAGACCAAGGTTAGAAACAAAAGAAAATTAGAATGTAATGTGAATCTTATATTGGGAGGTACGAGTTCTTCTCTGTGTTTTAATTTATTTCGAAATAATTGATAGTTTTGATTTTTATTTTTTTAAACCATACCATTTCTCAATAAATTTCGAAAATGACAAAAAGGAGTTCTTTAGGCGACAAGAAATGTTCTGAAACTACACAGTATAAATATCTTCATCTTTTCTTATACTGTGTAGTTCCAGAACATTTCTTTTCTTTCCCGCTATTTGTGGTTATTGTTCTTTTTAGCACATAAAATTAAAAGAAAACTTATTTTTAGCTTTTAATAGATTTGAAATTGAAAGCTCCAAACTCCAAATACGTTCCTTATATGTAATATGCTCTTGAAGTTGAATATATTTTAAAATTTGAAAGTCTATTAACTCAAAAATTTAGAAGTAAATAATATTTTTATTTTATTATCAATAAATTTATATTTATTGTAAATTAATTAAATAAATTTTATTTAGAAATTAATATTTATACTAAAAATAAATAAAATCATTAGATTAAAATAAATATTCTAATAATTTAAACTTACTAGAATATTTTTAAAACTAATATAATTTAAATAATTATAATAATTAAATTTTTAATGTAATATAATTCTTTGTTAGTTTAATATTAGTACTATTTTTATAATATATATTTTTATTTTAATTTTATAACATAATTAATTAAATGTAATATCACATCTTATATTAAAAAATCTCTCTACAGCAAATTTTATTAAATATTATACTATTTATACTTTAAATGACTGCTACTAATAAGAGTATTTTGCCAAGTTATAGTATTAATTTTATCTTGTTAGATCATTCTTGTGATACTTCTCCAAATTTTTATTGCAGCATAATGGCCTTGTTCCAAAGAACAATGGAGGAGAGGGAAAAAACCATAGAAGGACTATTGAGCAATGATAGGGTATCAAAGATTGTTCTTGTTGGCGATGCTGGAATGGGGAAGACGTGGATTGCAAGAAGGATAATTAACACTGCAATGAATGAAGGCTTATGCTACACAACTCTTTGGTTTTC